CGGGGACACATGGGGACACTTGGGGACACGCTGACAGCCCCGTGTCCCCAGCGGCGCTGGAACAGCTCCTGCGCTTCATGGTGCACCCGGCCATCTCCAGCATCAACCTGACGGGGACACGGGGGAACATGGGGACACAGGGACACGGGGGGGGACACGGGGACACCAGGGGACACTTGGGGACACCAGGGGACACTTGGGGACACTGACGGCCCTGTCCCCCCAGCGGCGCTGTGGGAGGAGGGCCGCGCGGCGCTGGAGCAGCTCCTGCGCTTCATGGTGCACCCGGCCATCTCCAGCATCAACCTGACGGCCGCGCTGGGCGCCTTGGCCTCCATCGCCCGCCAGCGGCCCATGTTCATGGCCGAGGTCATCCAGGCCTACGAGACGCTGCACGGTAACGCGGGGGGACGGGGACAGCGCGGGGACAGGGACAGGGACGGTGTGGGGATGGGACGGGATAGGGACAGCCCCATGGTCCACGTGGCCTGGGTGGCCCTGTCCTAGCAACCACCTCCCGGCCAGTCCCGACTCCTGCGCTTCATGGTGCACCCGGCCATCTCCAGCATCAACCTGACGGCCGCGCTGGGCGCCTTGGCCTCCATCGCCCGCCAGCGGCCCATGTTCATGGCCGAGGTCATCCAGGCCTACGAGACGCTGCACGGTAACGCGGGGGGACGGGGACAGCGCGGGGACAGGGACAGTGTGGGGATGGGACGGGATAGGGACAGCCCCATGGTCCACGTGGCCTGGGTGGCCCTGTCCTAGCAACCACCTCCCGGCCAGTCCCGACATCCGGGTGTCCCGGATCTCCATGATCCAACCCTGAGATCCAGGTGTCCCAGATCTCCATGATCCAGCCCCAAAATCCAGCCCCAAGATCCGGGTATCCCAGATTTCCATGATCCAGCCCCAAGATCCGGGTGTCCCAGATTTCCATGATCCAGCCCCAAGATCTGGGTGTCCCGGATCTCCGTGACCCCCCACACGTCCAGATGAGGACCAGGTGTCCCAGATCTCCATGATTCAGCCCCAAGATCCAGGTGTCCCGGATCTCCATGATCCAGCCCCAAAATCCAGCCCCAAGATCCGGGTGTCCTGGATCTCCATGACCCCCCACCCATCCACATGAGAACCCAGGTGTCCTGGATCTCCATGATCCA